TCCCATTCTGTGGGTGGTTGTTTTGTCCTACTGACTGTTTCCTTTGCTTGAGCAAAGTATTTCTAAGAGAGTTAATGACACAGTCAGGGTCTTTGAGCGAAAGGAACTCGTAGGGAGACACTGTAGTCCCACCTCCTAGTAGCCCTGACAGGTGTGCTGGGACAGGCCTGTGAGGGCATGGTCAGGGGAGGTCTAAGATGAAGGAAACTAAGGGACCGCACACACGTGGATGCCCCCTTCTCTCTGGCCTGGCTGCCTTGCTGCCCCTGGCATGTTCTGGCTTGAGTTTAGGCTGGGGTTTATCTGAATAAAGAAATCTTAGCCTTACGGACTACGGATCATCTTTGAGCACACACAGCACACAATAATCCACCAAGGAGGGTGGACACACTCATACTCCCACATACAAGATGAGTGACGATCACACCTGCTCAACCTTGATCATTTCTTTTTTTTCTGTTCCCTTCTAGCCTCCCTTTTAGCATGCTGGCACTTCCACACCACCAGTGCAAGTGTCAACATTGAGTCCGTCCCACCCCATGTGGTTGAAGGAGAAAACGTCCTTCTTCTTGTCCACAATCTTCCAGAGAATCTTTCAACCTTGGTCTGGTCCAAAGGGGAGAATATTAGAGACAATGCGATTGGATTATATACACTGAGCCAAGATGTAAGTGCTCCAGGGCCTCTACACAGTGGTAGAGAGACAGTGTACCACAATGGATCTCTGCTGCTCAGAAATGTCACAAGGAAGGACACAGGATTCTATACCCTACAAAGTTTAAATAGTCATGAAGATATTGCATCAAGAACAACAATTTACCTTCATGTGCACAGTAAGTGATTCTTTGTGAATTCTGAGTTGTGGGTGGGTTCATCCCATTGGACACACACAGTGTATTGGCCTGTGCCTTCTTCCCCTGTGCACGGGATTTTCAATTTGGGGTATGAGTACTCAGTTCAAGACACTCATGGTTTAGAATGATGCAATAGATCAGAATGTTTCATTTGATTTCAATTTGCAGACAGGTGGACAGATATTGGGTAACTCAGACCGTGTCTAGGCTCTGGGCTTCTTACCAAGAATTTGTCCGTGAGAAAAATCCATAGGGAATCAACATTTGCCCTTATGTAGGAAAATTTGGGATCCTCACAGAGGTGTGATCTGCAAGATGTCCTGACTCCAGATCTCTGTCCCAGAATTTACTACAGGCAGCATTGAGAATCAGTTCATAAAGGTTGGATATTGACTTCCTGATGGCAGGAAATAATTCTTTTTCACAGTCCCAAGTCCTGCATCTTTGGAACCAGCCAAAGCATTTTCATGAACTATATGGTTAGTCTATGTCCCCTGGACATGTTCTTCACAGACTAAACACGGAGAGCTAAACATGATAGGTGCTCAGTTCATTTCCTATCTGTTGTGATGGGCTTAAGACACTTTACAGTAAGATCAAAGAAAATAAGGGGAGGTGACACACATTTCTGCCAAGTGTCTTCTGGGTCCAGCTCAGGGAATCCTCTTCTGTAGGGAAATGGCTACGGCTATGCTGATCTGGACATGAGCTGTAGATCCCTCAGTGTTCACCAGGGGTGTCATTAGGGAAAATGATGAACTGGCAGAAAAGTATTTGCTTGAACCAGATATTTACCTAGAAGCCTGGTTACACTGCTGTTTTTACAGACCCAGAAATCATGGACACATTTTTCTTCAAGTTCATAGTCTTCCAGAAGATCTCAAGCCTCTTTCTGGCACAAATCAATATATAAGGGTCAGGTACTTAAAATTATAGCATACAGAAGCACCATGAATTCCATGTCCTGTCGGCCTGCACTCAGAAGAATAGGGATGGTATACAAGAACAGATCTCTGACTGTCCATGTGTCAGCGAGAAAGATGCTGGAATGTACATACTAGAAGTTTTCAACAGAGATTTCAAAATGAAAAGCTTAAGTGGGATTTTATGCAGTGAGTTTGGTATCCAACCACTGGGTGTGGCTTATCCTGCTTATTACATTGAACTGTCAGACTGGGCTGTGTCTGCTCTCTCCCCTAGAGTGTTGTGTTCTCTCTTGGAATTTGTGTACTCATTGTAGGACAACATGGAGTAGGCAAGCAAATTGCAATAGCAATGACAAGCTACCCCCTTCGCTTGTCATTACTTGTCAACCCCCACTGGCTAACCTGAGCCTCACCTTTTTAGCCTCAGTGAACGTTTGGAGCTCTTTACTTGGCTAACCTGAGCCTCACCTTTTTAGCCTCAGTGAACGTTTGGAGCTCTCACCACACATTGTTCCCAGAAACACATTGCTAGTCAGAAGTCTTTGGAAGCTATGGGGTCCTCACAGAGACTACCACAAAGTCCTTTGTAAAGGTTTGTTTAGATTTCCTGTCTGAACCAACAGGCAACAAGACTACTAACTGCCCAAGTCATGGGGCTGGCTATCCCATAGAACGTAGTGAGTGGTATACTGCCACCACAGCTGTTCTTGGGTTTGTCATCTGTGTATCTCATTTTCCAGAGGCTCAGGGGACAAGTGTCTGGGCCATTAGTTTATTTTTTCTCATGACTTATGAGACTTCAGTGGAAGAAAGTCAAGGCACCAAGGGGACAAAAAGAGAAGGCCTTGAGAGTGGATTTAATCCCTGCCCCATGCACCACTCAACTGGTCCCTTTGAAGCCTAAGGGACATCTCTGTCACCTTCCAGCTAAGAGGATATTCCATCTTTTTTTTAAAGCACCAAGAAAACAGGGCCAACTGGGTGCCCAGCTGGGTTTCTGTGTCCCACAGGGAGTGCAGAGGCTCCCACTTTGGTGCTGACATTCCCAGGGCCAGGACACAGCAGAGTGCAGCCCCAGGTCAAGCTGCTCTTCTCTCAGGATACAGAGAATCTCATTAAACCTTTTGATCACTGTGTGGTCTGGAGGAGTGGAGCAAAAAGAGAGAAGTGGAGAGGGATGAGGGGAGGTACTGAGAGTAAGGGGACCGAGCAGTGTTTGGAACAGAGACCCCCACAGCACATGGAGATGCTTTTGCCTGGAAGGAGTCTCAACTCAGATGGGGGAAGGGTAGCAGAGCTTGGGAGCAGATGTGCCACAGAAGGAGGGTGTATCAGGCCACAGAGACTAGGGATGCACCCTTGTATCCCTCTGCAATGCGTCAATGACTCTCAGGGACATCTGCTCACAGACAAGGGCACCATGATTTGATAGTGTGTTAAAGAAGAGGACTGATCTACCATTTGGAGTCTCCTAATGGGGACCAGGACTTAGAGGAGACTCTTGGTTTGTAGGGAAGAAGACACTGGGAGGCCAGAGGTTCAGTAGCAGGAAACTTATTCTTGGTTAATCTGAAAAAGTAATGGGAGTGGGGAGTAGTTTTTATTCCAACTCAATCAGCATGTCCACAATAGTCTGAAGACTGATGATATAGGCTTAGCATCCCAGAGAAAAAACTCAAGCTGGTGTTGATCAGGGATGCGGTTTAGTAGACATAAGTGTTTGCTTCATTGTCTGGAAATTAGAGACTAATGAACACAAATCCTCTGACCTTCACCTAGTTACTGTGTCCTGCAAACACTACCACACCGTTAGACACAAATGAGCATAAAAATAAAATCAAATGGAAAAATTTAACTCTGTATTCCTAAACCTATTAATTTATTTTTTTATCGTGATATCTTTTAAAATTTAAATTAGAATCTTATTTTACATAGAAATCCTAGTTACCTCTCTCTTCCATTATCCCATGTCCCCCACCAACCCCCCATCTTACCCCCTATCCACTCTCCAGGGAGGGTAAGACTTTCCATGTGGGATCATTAAAGTCTGTCACATCATTTGTGGCAAGGCCTGGACCCTTCCCTATGTATCTAGGTTGAGAGAGTATCCCTCCATGGGGAATGGGCTCCTAAGTACATTTGTGTACTAGGGATAAATACTTGCTCCACTGCCAGAGGTCCCATTGATTGCCCAGGCCTCGTAACTGACACCCAGGGACATTCAGGGGACATGATTTGGTTCTATGTTGGTTTCCCAGCTGTCAGACTGGGGTCCAGTTGCTCCCCCTTGCTCAGGTCAGCTGTTTCTGTGAGTTTTACCAGCATGGTCTTGACCCCTTTGCTCATCATTCCTCCAACTGTACAATGGGATTCTAGGAGTTCAGCTCAGTGCTTAGTTGTGGATCTCTGCTTCTGTTTCCATCAGCGACTTGACGAAGGCTCCAGGGTGGCATTTAAGGTAGTCATCATTTGCATTATAGGGGAAGAGCATTTAAGGCAGCCTCTCCACTAGCCTTTAGATTCTTAGTTGGGGTCATCCTTGTGGAACCCTGGACATTTCCCTAAGTGCTAGATTTCTCTTTAAAACTATAGTGGTTCCTTCTATCAAGGTATCTCTTTTATTGCTCTCCTCTGTTCTTCCCCTGACTCAACATTCCTGGTCCCTCATGTTCTCTTCTCCACTTCTCTTTCTCCTATGTCTTTCCCTACTCCTCCCGTGCTCCCAAATTACTCAGGAGATCTTGTCTCTTTGCCCTTCTCCACCGGACCATGTATGTCTCCCCTTGGATTCTCCTTGTTTCCTAGCTTCTCTGGAGATATGAATTGCAGGCTGGTAAGCCTTTTCTCTATGTCTAATATCCATATATGAGTGAGAACATACCATTTCATCTTTCTGTGACTCAGGATGGTTTCATCTAGTGCCATTGATTTTGAAGATTCCAGTGTTTTTTCCCCCCATTGTGTGAATGTACCACATTTTCCTTATCCATTCTTTGGTTCTGGCTATTACAAATAATGCTGCTATGATCATAGCTGAGCAGATGTCCTTGTATGAATGTGCATCGTTGTGTATATGTGTAAGAGTGGATGTTGAATCTTGAGGTAGACTGATTACCCTTTTCCTGAGAAACCACCATACTGATTCCAAAGTGGCTGTACAAGTTTGCACTTCCAGTAGCAATGAAGGAGTGTTCCCCTTTCTCTACATCCTCTCCAGCATAAACTGTCATTGGTGTTTTTGACTTTAGCCAATCAGACAGGCACAAGATTATATCTCAGAGTTGTTTTGATATGCATTATCATGATGGCTAAGGATGTTGAGCAATTTCTTAAGTGTCCTTCAGCCATTTAGATTACTATATTGATAATTGTCTATTTAGTTCTGTACCCCACCTCTAAATTGAAATATTTGGTGTTTTGGTGACTAGCTTCTTGAGTTCCTTGTATATTTTGAAGATCAGTTCTCTGTCAGATGTGAGTTTGGCGAAGTTCTTTTCCCATTCTGTGGGTTGCTGATTTGTCTTGTTGACCGTGTCCTTTGTTTACATAAGCTTCTCAGATTCAGGAGGTCTCATTTATTAATTGTCGATCTCAGTGTCTGAATTTATGTCCAGGAAGTGGTTTCCTGTACCAATGTGTTTAAGGGTACTTTCTGCTTTATCTTCTAAGAGGTTCATTGTGGCTGGATGTATTTTGAGGTCTTTGATCCATTTGGATTTAAGTTTTGGGCATGGAGGTAGATATGAATTTATCTGCAATCTTCTACATGTCAGCATCCAGTTATGGCAGCACTATTTGTTGAAGATGCTTTCTTTTTTCCATTCTATAATTTTCTCTTCTTTGTCAAAATAAGGTGTTTGTAGATGTGTGGATTGATAGCAGGGTTTTCAATTTGATTCAATTGGTCTTCATGTCTGTTTTTGTGTCAATACCTAGGTGTTTTCATTACTATAGCTCTATAATCAAGATGGAATTCAGGGAAGGTGATACTTCTGGAATTTCCTTTATTATACAGTGTTTTTTGGTTATCCTGTTTTTTTCCATAAACAACTGAGTTTTGTTCTTTCAAGGTCTGTGAAGAATTGTGTTGGGATTTTGATGGGCATTTGCATTGAATCTGTAGAATGCTTTTGGTACGATTGGTAAATGGCATTCTTTTTTTTAAAAAAGATTTTATTTGTTTATTATGTATACAACATTGTGCTTCCATGTATATCTGCTCACCAGAAAAGGCCTCCAGCTGTCATTACAGATGGTTGTGAACCACCATGTGGTTTCCGGGAATTGAACTCAGGCCCTCTGGAAGAGCAGCCAGTGCTCTTAATCTCTGAGGGTAAATGGCATTCTTAATTGGTCTAAATAATAAAAACCAGGAGTTTTTATTTTATTAGAGAAAACTGTTGAGAGATGAAAAGAAGAAGCAAGCCAAAGCCACCTTTACTTCACTAGCTTCCCTCTGGGAAAAAAGCCAGGTCTCATTTCTTCCCACATATATCACCTCTCACTTCCTGTCTGTCAGTACAGACCTCTTGCCCTCTATGGATAACTAGTGGCAAGCCCCATCCTCTGATCTCCAGACAATTTTTATGTGTACAAGCAAGATATCACCACATTTTCCTGGTTCTCACAATTCCATAATCCCAGTGGACTAAAAGTAAAGAAACCTTAAAAGGTGAAGTCAGGTGTTGACTGGAACCACAAGAGTAAAGCACATAAGTAACAAAAAGTCACGGTCTAGAGGGAAAGAAGCCAGGAAGTCATCCAACCCAACATCAATCTGCACTGAATGTGAGCTGGGGTCTAAGGGTTGTGAACCAGGGCCATATTGACACCTGAGCAGAGAGCACCATACAAAAGAAATAACAAGTGCAGGGACACTGAGGAAATGGAACTCAGTAAATGACAGGAAGACACCCTATTACACACCTAAGCTAATCTATGGACACACTTGTTCAGGACACAAGGCCTCATCTTAGCCAAATATGAAGGTCCAACTATTGATTGATCTCTGTCTTTACTTCTAGCTTCCAATTGTGGGTGCCCTTCTACCTGTGCCCAGATCACTATTGAGTCAGTACCATCCAGCATTGTAGAAGGAGAAAGTGTTCTTCTCGTGGTTTATAACCTCCCGGAGAATCTTCGAGCCTTTTTCTGGTACAAAGGAGGCATTGTGTCCAAGAATATTGAGGTTGCCTGGCACCAAATAGCCAGAAATACAACTGGGTTTGGCCCTGCTTACAGTGGCAGAGAGATAGTGTACAGCAATGGATCCCTGCTGCTCCAGAATGTCACCTGGAATGACACTGGATTCTACACCCTACGAACTCTGAGTAGAGATCTGGAAACTGAACTAGTACGTGTGCAACTCCAGTTGGACAGTAAGTGATTCTTGTGATCATCCAGTCCTGGGTTGTGTGAACACACACAGGACACTGTTGCCTCATCTGTGCTTAACTTCATTCTGTACTGTGTCCCATATGGGTTTTTGAGCATTTAGTGCAGGACACACATACTAGAGACTATCAGACTCCGACCCTGACTTAACCTTCAGAGGTTTGTGTGTGTGTGTGTGTGTGTGTGTGTGTGTGTGTGTGTTGGCAAAGGGTAAGTCAGTGCAGGTGCATTAGACTCTGTCTTGTCCTTGGTGTTCTTGCTATGAATGTAGTACTGAGAAGGATCCTGTTGGCATCAGGCATATCTTGGGATCCTCAGAGAGAGGTAAGCACCAGGAATCCCTGCCTCCAGCCCTCACTCCCAGGCTTGATTACAAGTGACCTTGGGAAGTATTTTGCCAGGTTTGGACTCTTACTTTCTTATGGAGCTGAGAGGGAACAACAGTGTTTGGGTGTCCATATTTCACAGCATGTGAAACCAGCTAGTGCAATGATCAGAGAGTCACGTTCAATCTAGGTCACCTGGGCGCCTCCTTCAGAGACTCAGCATGGAGGGCAGAGCTAGACAGGTGCCAGGCCACCAGGCACTCTTTTGATGGGCTTATGGGAATTCACAGGAAGATCAGGATTCCCACGGTGAAGACAGATGACATAGGTCCACCTGGTATGTACTTGTCTTATGAGGTCCACCCCAGGGAATTCCCTCATGCAGCCAAATAATAAAAGGCTCTGATGTTATTTACTTCCCCCAGACATGAGCTAAGTCATTTTTGATCACCCGGGGGTGATATTAGCTCACAGTCACACCCTGAGGTGCTGGTTTCCTGGAGAAGATGAAAGAATCATATGTTATTTAAGTTTCTGTCCCAATGGACCTGGAAGTCCCTCTCACAGGCCAATCTGACCCACTGGTGCTTCATTTGTTTGAGAAAATACTGTGCTAGAGGACCATATTCAGCCTCCTTCCTTCTAGCATAGGGAAAAGGAGAGTGACCACAGGGGAATTACCAAGCAAAGGATAGAGACATCCCTAAAATGTCAGGGTGGACATGGGCAAACCTGAGCCATACCTCAACCAACAAAGGAGGCTGGAATTCAGGTTTCTATTTAAAAACCTCAACAGCAGGGTGAGACCACCTCTTTCCAGGTCACAGGTGACCTTCTCAACAGACAGGACATGGCTCTCCTGATGCAACTCCTCCTGGATGTCTGTCCTGTATCTGACCTTGAATGCTCACCCTATTGATATGCAATGAGTATACGTTCCCTGCTGTCACTCAAGTGGTCTATTTCCAGCTGTCACAGACATCTGTCACCTTCTGGATGAGAACAAATTCCACCTCACCAGAGCATTGAGGTCATGAGGACAAGTGGGTTCACAGCAGAATTTCTGTGTCACAGAGAATGTGTAGGGATAAGAGAGTCCCCTTCTTTGATGCTACAGTGCCAAGGCCAGGACACAGCAGAGTTTAGTTCTGGAATGAGCTTTTGGGCTTTGGGACACAGGGATTATTATTGGCTCATTGCTCATTGTGTGGTCTGGAGGTCTGAAGCATAAAGAAGGCAATTTGGGAACAGAATCACCAAGCAATGCCAAGGAGACCAGGGAGAACTGTCTTGGACAAGGACCCATACACAGTCCTTGTGACTCTCTGATATGCTTCTGCCCTCTAGAAGGCTTAGCTCTATGGAGGCCAGGGCAGCAAATCTTGACTCAGGTACATCAGAGCTGACTCCAGGACAGCAGAGTTGACTTTGTGACAGAGGAGTGTGTTAGCTGTGCTGGATCCTTTGGAGACCCCACCTTGTTCCAAGGGATCAAGATCCCTATCTTGTCTGAGGGTCACCATGGGCAAAGGCTAGTCTTATAAGTGAAGAGAATTCCCTGGCCATGAATGGGAGGTGTAGCTCAGGCCTTCGGTGGGGTCTCTAAGGAGAACAAGAGTCTGAAGGAGAATCAAGGTGTCTGCTTGCCACCTTAGTGGAGGTGGTACAGAGGTGGACTCAGGTCCAGCAGCAGGAAGTTCTCAGTGAACAGGAAATGGTAAGGGGTAGGGTTGTAAGCCAGACTGTTTTCTATTCAATGGTAATCAGGTTGACTGCTGTATTCTGAAGACTCATTTTCTCAACTATAACAAGTGACAAAGAAAAGTATCTAACCTGGGTGGGGTCAGTGATGTGTTTCATTGAGTGAAGGCAAATTCTGCTTGGCCCAGTGACCTGAGTTTAATACCCCAGCTCCCATGTGGTGGAAGGAGAGAACCCTCTCTCTCTTAGTTGTACTCTGCCTCACACATAATGTGGCATGCCCCCAGTAATAGACACATGTCTGTAGGAATGCACATGAACACATAAAATGGAAATAACCATAAAAATTAAATAAAACCCTGGACATCCTTGACCTTGGAATACTTTTGGTCATTCTCATATTCATTCATTCATTCATTCATTCATTCACTCACTCATTCATTCATTCATTCATTCATTCTCCACAGCTCTCAGATAACTTTCTAGGTAACATGTCTTCCCCAAATGAGATTAACCCTGGTCTTCACAAAAGTATATTCTAAGTGTTCTTGAAGATAGTCCAGTAAAGAAAGCATAAAGGCGAAGGCAGGTGTTGTCTGGAACCATAAGAGGAAAAAAACGTAAACAACAGAAAACTCAGAGAGTCAGGTGTCAAGGATTGCAGGGATAGAAGCCGGGAATTTATACCCCTAACACCAACCTAGACTGAATGTGAGCAGGGGTCTGGGGGCAGTGAGCTGGCGCCTGTTAACAACAACTAATCAGAGAGTGTCATACAGAGAACATGACATGTGCAGGGACACCGAATGCATAGAGCTCATGTCCAGACTCACCCAGTAGGACAGAGAGACACACAGGACACAGGGCCCCAACTTAGGCAAATACAAAAATCCTACTACTAATGCATCTTTTTTCCCTTCTAGCCTCCCATTGTGGGCACCATCCCTCCACCCAGCCCACTGTTGAATCAGTTCCACCCAGCGTTGCTGAAGGGGGAAATGCTCTGTTAGTGGTTCACAACCTCCCGAAGGATATTCGAGCCATTTCCTGGTACAAAGGTGCGGTTGCATTCAAGAATCAGGAGGTTGCCCGACGCAAAATTGCCGCAAAATCAAGTGTGCTGGGCCCTGCACACAGTGGCAGAGAGACAATGTACAGTAATGGATCCCTGCTGCTCCAGAATGTCACCAGGAATGACGCTGGATTCTACACCCTCCAAACTGTGACCACTGATCTGAAAGTTGGATTAGTCCATGTGAAACTCCTGGTGGACAGTAAGTGATTCTCCGTGATCACTCAGTGTTCTGTGGTATTTAGTCACACAGCAGTGTCTTTTCTGGCCCGTGCATAGTGTCACCATGTTGGTGTGTGAGCACTTAGTGGTGGACACACATGATGGAGACAAATGGTGATAGATCATCTTACATCATCTGAATCCTCCTCCATCATGAAGTCCTTGTAGCAAAGTCACTCAGCCTAAGATGTCAGATCATGCTCAGTCTCATGGGCATCTCAACACACATTTCAGTAGGAAAGACCATGTAGGCATCAGGTAGGGACTGCTTGAGGAAACCATGCCATCTTTTTCTTTTCTTCAGATTTTTTTATTTGAATTAGAAACAAGATTGTTTTACATGCCAATCCCAGTTCCCTTCTCCCTCCCGTCCTCCCCTACCACCCCCAACTAAAACCCTACCTATCACATATCCTTTCTGCTCCCCCTGGATGGTGAGGCCTTCC